ACAGTATATAGCGGACCAAATTAGTAATATCACTGACAAGGGATGACTAGGAGTTTTAGTGGCTGCGTACTTTATGTTGGCCTGACTATTTTTACACACCTACTGTCAGAAGCTGCATGTTGACAAGTGAGAAGCAGATTGCATTATGGGTAAGTTACTAATTCAGTTACCAGCAGTTCTACCACTAAGCCCAATACAATGCCCACCTGTGGCATTAGCAAAGGGGACGTCTAAGCATCGCCTGCGCTTAACGAGCTGACTGCCTGCTTCCTTAATCCAAACATCCCATTTCCTGGTATGACCAGGAAAACGTGATTTGCATTTCATACCGTGGAATTTCCCTGCGATTACAACCATCTGTGGAACACCTGTGCAATATTAACAATTTGACATGCCTGGTTTTTACAGAAGATGGTGAAACACAAACGAATGGCTGAAAGATCCCGCAGAGATAGAGCAGGTCGTTCTACCATGTGCTCGACTGTTCTGGGCTGCTGGAAGTCACATGCTGAAGAGGTACTGAGTGAATCAACTGTGAGGGCGCTCAGGACAAGACACCAGCCAGAATTAACTTCTGTACCTCTTAACGAATTAAGCGACTTGTTTGCATAGCTCAGACCAAACGGCTCGGAGTCTCCTACAAGACACCTTCTCTTAGAAAGTACTTGTACTTTCTACATCAGTGTTTCTCAGCCCAGTCCATGAGAACCCACAGACGGTCCACATTTTTGTTCCCACCCACTATTCTACAGGATTGTGCATTTCACAGAACTGCATAAAAGTCTAACAATTTAACTCGCCTTCACGAGCGAGATGATGCTTTCCCATGCAGGCGCGCGGAGCACATTGGTGCTGCCCCCCGGCTGCCATCTGGGGTAGCGCAAGCTGGAGAAAAAGGGGGTCACCTTAGCAGGTGTGGTCGCCGTGGGGTCGGGTCATACATGAAGCACGTGCACTTTGTCTCTGCTTAGAACGGAGCAGCTGCAAAGGAACCAACCTGCAAAGTCCTAACAAAGCTCATCGACTTACTGCGTATGACGCTCTGTAATACCGTCTCCGGCTGCCACCGCAGATACGGTCACTCGGGTGCCCCGCCTCTGTTACCTGCAAGCTCGTCAACCAATCACCTTGCCGGCACGGCAGGTTGGCTGACAGCGGCGGATTCCACTGTCGGCCACGGCTAGGCTCCCCTGAGATTTGGACCTGCAACATTCCCAGCGTTCCTTCCCAGCGTCCGCACTTCGGGACAGGACATCGCCTTTGCCAGGTGCGCAGGGACTGCGAACGAGGCTATTTTCCGAAACACAGCTCAGCCCCCGACTCCACGGCCCAGTGACGGGACGGCTGCTCACGCGCCGGGACCAAACCTGGCTGCCTGCAGGCGGACGGGTGGCTTTATTACTCCTGGGCATTAGTGACAGTGTGTGCAGAGTGTGGGGGTCCCTCTGTACCACTGACAACGTCCCCATATGCAAACCATCCACCCACGCATCCACAGGCAAATGTTTAGCACGCGCACAAGTTCACCACACGACGCAAACACACACTCTGTCACTGAGAAACCATACAGACAGACACACACACGTGCATGCACGACACTATAAAGTGCAGCGGTCTGACTCACACACACACGTGCATGCACGACACTATAAAGTGCAGCGGTCTGACTCACACACACACCTCACAGCCGTGTGAAGGCATTACCTGCATGTCCGTCCGGGGGAGTGAATTGTGGACACGTCTGCAGATCGGGGCTGCAGCCTGGGCTCCTCCTATGCTCCTCTCCTCTGGCTCTTCCTCCTCCTCCTCTTCTGTCTTACATCTCCCTCACCCCGGGCAGCCTGACTTCCACACTTCCTCTTCTCCAGGGGTGCGGCACACACTGTGGTACTGCACAGCCCCTCCTATCTCTCCCTCCCTCAGTCTCTCTCTCTCCCTCTCTTTCCTCTTGCACCTAAATATCTGGAAGCCTCTTTTGACTCTCCCATGCATGGCCAACCCCCCCCCCGCCCCCCCCCTACACACACCCAGGGTCAAGTACCAGGCAGTTAAGTGCACCCATTTGAAACCTGCCATGTTAAACCCCCCCCCGGCAGTGTGACCCCCCAGCATACATCACACCCACTCCCAGTCCACACGACACACTAAATCGCATGGCAGCATGAGGCTGTTTCCAGGCTGTGAAGATGCACCGGATTTAACTGCATCTGACAGGCGGTGTGATTGATTGACTTATGGGACTGTAAAGCAGCAATGGGTGGTGGTCAGCGAGGAGGGGGGGCAGTTGCACCTTGACGGATCCTGGAGGTGTAGGATGCGGATGCCCCCCCCCGTTTAAAAAGTGGCATGTTTATAAATAAAATGGATGCCAAGTGGCGTGTTTGTAAATAAAATGGACGCCTCACTGTTTCAGAGTGCCAGGGAGACACACATGTAACTAAAATACAAAGGAAAACATTCGCCTTCAGTCACAGACTAAACCACAAACAAAAAAGACCCAGGGCACGTGTGCAGTAATACCTCGTCAGTATCTGTTGATTTATTTAACTTTCTAGTGCAATTTCTAATGTACTTATCTACATTTATACCACCTGTTTTCTACTATCTCTATATCCATCCCATCCATCTTCTATAATTGTTTGTGCTATGCAGGGTCGCCCATTCAATCCCGGAAGCTATGGGTGCAAGGTAGAGAATAACCCAGGACTGGGGGCGCACACACCATCACAGGGCGCACACACCATTCACACACACACAGACACACACACACACACACACACAATGTTCACCTCTGCATGTTTTTGGACTATGGGGGGAAACTGGAGTATCTGGTGGAAACCAAATGACAACACAATGGAGAACATGCAGACTCCACAGACATGGGGCCACAGAAGTGGAACAGCAGCACCAACCGTCACACCGTTCTGCCCCAACATCTCTATAACATGTTATTCTTGTTTACTTTTATGCAGAAATAACATGTGTATGTGGAACTCTGTACTGGCTATTTTTTTGTCTTTTTGTGTGGTTGTTTTTTTTTTTGTGCGGCCTCGATCACAAACAATTTCCTCAGAGACAGTAAAAGTTTCCTGATCCTGATATATCATACACAGGGAACATTCCCAGTACCTTAACTGTTACATGAATTTCTTTTCAAAGTTGACAGAGAACCTTACTGTTACATTTTAACAACGGTTCTGAAAATGCCAGCACTGTAACATTATTAACTGATGCAAGATATATTGAAAAACATCGCTTTATAATAAAATGCCATTTTGTAAAAGTGCTGCCTGTATACTGTGAACGCTGCCCAGCGTTGACCCCATGACCCCCGAGGAGTAAAGGCACAGTGTACCATGCCCTTGTTTGGTTCTGCATTATTCTAAGCAGCAGTAGTAGCTGTTAGCAACAATAGCTATTACTTTTTACTGTCATTTCTTGTATTGCATTCCACCAAAAAAATGCTGTGGATTATGGGTATGCAGAAATGTTAAATCCGAGGGTAATAGCGCAGCTAGAATGTAGCCAGGGGGCAGTTTAGATGTGATTATGCTAATAAATACAAGCTAAAAGGCTTTCCCCTCGTTCATAACACGTTTAACACTCTGCGTATGTATGTCCCAGGCAGCAAGAACATCTGCAAGGCAGAGATACTGCCCACCGCCACTCAAGCCACGCACTTCCTGTTGGCCAGAAACGCTCCTACACTAAATATTAAATAAACATGTTTCTTATTTAGGAAATGTTCCGCTAGCTACTATAGCTAGCCACAAACTCGACTCTCCTCGCTAGCTCTTGGTCGGGGGTGTTTCTCCATATGCGTACTTGACCATACTTGTGTTCTCCCGTACCCGTTTTACGTCGTCTTCCGTCGCTGAAGCCCAGTCCAAATACTCAAGAACAGAAGTACAGAGGACGGTAAAAATCCGTTCCTCCCCTGCTCCGAATATCGAGGATACATCAGCCGCATCCTCACCAAACGAGACCAATCAATGATTCATTGCACCCCAAGTGCGTCCGTGGGAGGCAAGTTAGCAAGACCCGTCTTGCCAAGACCACAAGCACGATCTTTGCGTTCTTGGTATTGAGAAACACCCTCAGTTTTTGAAATATCTGGGGGGGGGGGGGTTGAAGAGATGTCAGTATGAGCAGCTGGGGTCAGGTGACATCTCTGATGGAGCTGCCTGAACACCTGTTACCTCCCATCATGCCTCAGTTCATGAACTGGACTAAAACAGACCTTGAGCGCATGATTCTATGGAATCATGCTGTGTGCCGCAATGCCAGGGCTGTGTTGAGGCACGTGGGCTGAGAGCCGCCAGCTGAAACATCGCGGGGAGGCCAGGAAAACCAGATCTAGATGTAAGGAAGCTAGAAAGAGCATCCTCTGTGATCTGCACTCATTTCTGCTGAATCCCTTTCAGGACGGAACAAAGAGCTCCGCGGCTGCTGTACGGGAGCGGCTGCGGACGCCCCGCGGGCTGGGCGCCATGTTCTCTTCAGTGATTTCAGCACCTGCTGCCATTAATTATCATGTTACAACACCCAGCCTGATAAATTATACGCCCAGCGACGGCATTTAAAGATGAGTGACAGGACAATATAACGTGCAATATAACATTCTGCAGATTTTAGGGTCCGATCGGTCTGCTGGATAGCTACAGAGTGCTGCTGGACTTCCCCGTTCCCGTGGTGCCAGTGAGGTTTGATGTGTGAGTCCTACCTAAGGCTTGCATGCTGTTATGCTGATACACATTCACAAAATTACAACCTCGGGGGGGGGTGGTTAAGCACCCACTGGCAGCAGAGAAGCTACCCCAACATCTGCTGCCATTCCTTAGCTCCTCCTACTCACTAATCTGATTGGTAGTTCAAATACGGGTATTTTTTTTCTAATAAGCAGCCATAGAAACAAGACTGATTAATTTGGGCAGCTTAAAGTTAATTAAGGGTTAAAAAAAAAATAAAAATAATAATAATAATAATAATAATAATAATAATAATATCAAGCAATTTATTGGGATGGTTCCCAAGCCTGTGTAGAGGGTTAGGGCACCCCAGCTGAGCACTGCCATGGATTCAATTTCCTGCTGACGAAATAAGAGACATTTTAGGCACAATTCATGGATTAATTGCATTGCAAGGCATGAACCTGTAAGCAAAATTACCTGTGCAGCACCTGCACACTCTGAACTGGCTCTACGTAAGCAATTCAGCAAATGTCCTGTTCAAACACCTGCTGGGACTTGAAGCTATAACATTCTGGTGACAAGTCCAGAGCCCATGCCACACCCTTTGAGACGTCTGGCATGGGTGCTGGCTTTCACCTTAGTACTAGGCTCCATCCCTCCGCCCTCTCATCAGGCGTGGCTGAACTGCCACATGCTTACTTCACAAACCCTCAGAGCCTCTGCTGTCCCACACCTGCCCCTGCAGTGAATATGGCCACAGTTGGCTCTGTGGTTCTTGTGAGTCTTTCTCACTCTTCCGGTCCAGCTTTCTCTGGACTTCCCTGGGGCTTTATGTCTCTGGATACTTTTCCCAGTTTCCACAGCTCTTAATGACTCAATCCCCTAGTCTTGATGGAGGAGAGAGAAGAGCTTTCTGAAGCCCTCTGTGACACCTTGAGGGCTTCTGTGGTCTTGAGGGTGTCCTGCGATCTCCGGAGACTGATGGAGAGCTCCTGTGATATCTCGAGGCCTTCTGTGATGTGTCCCACGATCTCTTCTGCCTGCCTGAGAGGCGTGGTTTACTCTTAGGATGATGAATCATGTTGACACTGAATCATCTCTGAGCCACTCTCAGCCCAATGGCTCACAGAGGAAGGCTGGATGGGGACTGACACACTCAAACACGCATCTTCAGACTGCGGTGACATTTCTTCCTGTGACTGGAACACAGATTATTCTTATGTCAGTCATCAGCAGCATAACTAACTGGCCGTATCCATCAGCCCGATGCAATATTCACTGTTTTCAGGTCAGGTCAGGTCAGGTTGGGGAGCATGAGCTGATGCAGCTCGTTGCCGCACCCACCACACAGCGAAACTCCTCTGGATCCCGGCTGGTGACCCCCCAGGCAGACACACGGTCCAGTCCCACCCTCCGGAAATGACTATCCATCTGCCGCAGCCAGGTATTACCTGGGTGTCCCCTTGGCCTGGTCTAGTCACTTGGGTCCTCAGCAATGAGGATCCTGAGAGCCGGATCACCGTCAGGGAAACGCGCCACATGGCCGTAGTCAGTGTGGTGCCAGTTCACACTGAAAAAGAACTAGCTCAAAGTTCATAGTTCATTTTTTTAAATTTGGAACTAAGTTCACAGCTCCAAAAATGATTCG